TGGATCTTTATCATTATAGGGTGGTTGTGTACACACACTGCCAACACACATTTATGTTCAAACAACTTGTAAAAGTGCATTTAAAATTATGGCAGTTTAATGCCTGCAAAAACGGCTCGTAGGGACTATAACGAGCTACTTCCCGGGTTGGTGACATCACAAACCCAGAAATTTACATAAACCCCGCCCCGAAAACATGCAACAAAGGGGGCGAGGCCATGTTGCGCTGCTTTAGAGAAGATGAAGAGTTGTTGCCATGCCGTCAAAACTAGGGGTGCACGAAAAAATCTATTCTTATATGAATCGCGTTTCTGTCTTCTAACGATTCTAATGAATTCACAAGTTTCAAAATCACTAAAGCAGCGGTTCTTAATACTGTTCCTCGTGTTCTCTCTCTCTCTCTCTCTCTCTCTCTCTCTCTCTATCTATCTTTCACCTGAATCAGATCATCAGCTTGTCAGCTCCTTCAATAAACTGTGTTCCAATTATACACTTTGTTATACACTTAAGATAGATATTATTCACATAGCTACGAGAAGCGTTTAACATGGACGTGCACGCGGTTGCTGTGGTAGCGAGCAATACTTGCTGACAAACACTTACTGTTACAAAATAAACATTACTTTACAAAAATGCTACAATGCAAACATGTATTCTGCTATATTAAAACTTTAATCAAGATAAAACTGTACATTAAAAACTAACATAACCAGTATCATTTACAAATAACAGCGTATCTAAAAGTATGAGACAACAACAAACAAAGAAACATACCATTCTGAAACATCCTGTAAGAGCCGTGCTTGCACAGGTTCTGCGCGATCCTCTTCATTAATATTCTCTGGGTCTCAATCGGGCTCAAATTGATAAGCAATATTGACAACGTCATTGTTTACAATAGAACTGGAGCACATGCCGCTGAGGTGAGGGGCGGGACGCTTAGACATGCACTAGAGGCAGTTTAGCCAATCACAACACACTGGACCAGCTAACCAATCTGAGCCCATCGTGTATTTCTGAGGGAGGGGCTTCATAAAAGCAGGAAATCATCAGAGCGTTCATAAAAGTAGGGACAGAGCGGTATAGAATAAAGGTAAATTATGTGAAAAATATGTGTTTTTATTTTTTAACGAAGCATTAACACCTGTTAATAAACACAATCAAGCCTAGAAAAAAAAAACAGTTAACCCTTTAAGTTTCTGGGGAGATGCACCACATTACATTTTAAAACCTTAGCCTTTTCATAGAAAAAAAAATCTAAGTATCTAATAGTTTAAGGACTTACTGACCTTGATGCACAGTCATGAGTGTCTGCAAGTGTTCTTTTTTATGATATCATTTCCTGTTTTGTTTTTTGATTGCAAAATTCAGAATGTTTCCTGCATCAAGTGACGTTGATTTGAATATAAATAATAATAAAAAACAATGCCAAACTACTCAATAAGATTTTATTTTCAAGTTTTCTTTTCTTTTAATAAGGCTTCATTATGATATCAGGATATGTTTCATTTCAACTCAGAAACTTCAGAAAGTCATTGTGCAGCATTTTAAAGCATTTTTAAATAAACGACTAAAAAGATTATGTCATTGACCCCATAACTGGAAGCCCTAAACAATTCCCATTTCTTGGCTTTTACATAAAATGTCTTCTTGAGAGCAACAGAATGGAACAGAAATCAGCAGATCTCGCTTCTTTCAAACTTGGGACTATTTTAACTTGAAAAGGCACATTTTGTGACGGGACGCTCAAAAAACAGTGCAAGACATGATGACGCAACAGCCAAACTCATGCATCTGCATTTTTATGACTCTATCAGTGATGATATAAATGGGATGAATTTAAAGATACAACTTTTCAAAGGAAGTATTTTTTCAATGAAGCCAATCTCAATTCCCAACTCTAGTCATCATACTCAAAGGAATAGATACAAGTCAACTCTGAAGCTTAGTTGGGATAAACTAAAACGACCTACCTGCTTCCAGAGGAACTCATCGTCCTGATTGATCCTCCACGTGGTGAGGAGGTGTATGGAGGACAGAACTCCTCCACTGAGCACTGCCGCCCTCATCCGCACGGGCAGCAGCGTGTAGATGATGTAGATGAAGAAGACGGACCACCAGATCCCCTCGGATGCGCTGCGGGGGGCCCCCATCAGCACCCCGAACACCTGCACCACGATTAGCACTCCAATCACAAGGTAGCTGACCATCCACATGTAGTCCTGGTGGAACCCATTTCGGTTGCACACCACCATTAGCACCAAGAACAGGGCCATGGCCACGGAGAGCACAGAGGCGTAGACCACATCGGGCGGTCCGTGGATGCAGTGGAACGTGAGCATGACCCCACAAACGATCACCAAGACGCCCATCAGCATCGTGAGCGAGCTCTGGTTGAGCCTAAAGAAGTAGCGCTGGTAGAGACGCTCCAGCTTGCGCGACTGGAACTTCTTGGATTGGAACACGCGAACCACCCGCTGCCAGCAGTCCGCCGCCGTCACCGACCCCGCGCCGCTGGCCATGTCATCGCTGGAGCCGTTGCGCTTGGACTTCTTGCCATTGCGCTCGCCCCACGCGGTCTTACGGTTATCCACTCTGGCCACTAGGAAGCCGTTGATCCAGGACATTCTGTAGGAAAACCAAAGTCAGAGAGGTGCATGTTTATGCGGGTGAATGGCAGACAAAAAATGTAGTTCAAAAGACTTGTGGAAATGTACTTCTGGTTAAATATGGTTTTAAAAAGCTTTTTCCCATTTACAAGAAAAGATTACATTTAATGGCTCTAAGGGTGCTTTCACACTAGCACTTTTGGTGCGCACCCGGGTTCGATTGACATCAGAGTTTGGTTCGTTTGGATGATGTGAACGCTGTCTTCCGAACTTGGGTGCGCACCCGCGAACCGTACCCGAGTCTGCTTAAAAAGGGTGGTCTGGGGTACGGTTCAAGTGAACTCCTGTACGGTTCGCAGCTGATGTGAACACAATCGTACCAAATCGCGGAAGTGAACCACTATTAATGACGTATTATTTGATAAAAATGTGTGTTTGTGTGTGTTTCACTCACTTTCCTGACGAGCATGACTGACACGCTGCAAACAGATAAATATATAAAAGTGCAGAGAGCAATGTTATGCATTTGCCGCCTTCTCCTGCGCCGTCGTTACTAAGCAACGAGGTAAAGAGCTGCTGGCTTGATGACGCAAACGAACCGTGGTTCAGACCCAAATAAAATAATATGAACGCAGTCCAGCAGGGGCAGGGGGAGGGGGGAGCAATCGAACTCGGGTTCGGACCAAGCAAGCGAACCAAGTGTGAAAGCAGCCTAAATTGTCAGGTGGTGTGACCATTAAGTAAAAAGTAATAACATACTTTCCGTAAGCCTTAAGGTACGCTCACATTTATCTTTACTCTGCAAAATTTTGTGGGTGAAATCCAGTCATTCCAATAGGAATCTGGAATTCACACGAGGGAGAAAAAGCTCCCCATGCAGATTTAACTTGTGTTAAAGTTGGTCACATGAATTCGCCGCACACTGACCAAAAGCTGCTTAGTTTGCAATGGCCTTATGTGCTTCATGCATCTCTATACTATTAATAATGGACCTGTTTTTGTACTCAAAATTTCACTGTGGCCACACCTTTAATTGTATTTTTTTTTAAGTTCTTAAATTTACTGTATAAAAATAATTTTTGGTTTTTACAAGCATCAAAAATTATCCATTCATTAATATCTCTTGGAGAGTCCACATGACAGCAGACAAAAGCATTTTTATATTAATAAGCTTATAAATAATATTATTATTCTTATAAATAATAATAAAACATTTTCCTAAACTACCTAACAAGGTTTTCTTTACATGAATTTCAATATTGTAATGAAGGTTTTTTATTCTTTATTGATTTTAGGATATTTTTTACTTTATGCCCCCGAAGATATTAAAATTAATTTGAACTGAGATATTAAAAACATGTTCATCAGGGAAGAGGTATATTCAAGCCATTGTATGTACACTACCATTCAGTAAGATCCTTTTTTTAAAGAAATTTATTATTTTATTTAGCAATAAAGGGACAACAAAGACTTGTAAAATTTGTATTCATCAAAAAATCCTGAAAAAAATATTAAAGGGGTCATATGATGCTTTTTTAAAGATCATTATTTAATCTTAAAGATTCCTAAATGCATCTACTTTCGGAAGGCCAAATAAACTGCTTTTGCTTTCGCCTAGAAACACACAGCGTCTCCCCTGACATGGCTGCTTCAACACTAACTGCGGTTACTGAAACCATGCCTTCTTTCTTTGCGTGAACATTTGGGTGGCATTACCAAATATTTCCACATAGTGAGGTAGATATGTGGGGGCGTGTTAGAACGAGCCGTTTTAGGGGGGCGTGGCAGAGTCTTAACTTTGATAAAGAATATCTCTTTGGTTTTGAGACTTTAGTCTTTGCAACTTCAGGGATCTTATCTATGCACAATCAGCTTGTAACACTCCAAAGAGAAAGGAAAACTTGAAATCGCATCATATGACCCCTTTAAACAGCACAACTGTGAGCTGCAAATCAGCATATTAGAATGATTTCTGAAGAATCATGTGGCACTGAAGACTGGAGTAATGATGCTGAATGAATAAATTACATTTTAAAATATATTCAAATAGAAAACACTTGTTTTAGATTGTAAAATATTTCGCAATAGTACTGTTTTTACTGCATTTTTGATCAAATAAATGCAGCCTTGATAAGCATAAGAGACTTCTAAAAATATTTTAAAAATCTTACCCCAGCATATAAACTGCATTTTTAATGTGTTTTAATAAATGAACAGATGACGTCATTGACTCATGCACGTGGCAGAATGAATGGATGAAATAATGCATATTTTTTGGATGTCTTTACCTGTGTGGGTTCTGGTGTGTGCCCCAGCCCTGATCTTGCTGTCCGAGACACTCATTTAGAGCGGTGGATGAGCGAAAGCAAAAATGTAGAGTTCTGATAAGTGATTGATGAATATCAGGGAGTCCAGTTTCATTTAGTTACTGAAGACTGGCCTGATGGATCTGAAGATCTGATACTTTGTTCAACTGTATCTTCACCATGCCTGGATCTGTTGATGATAAACCATCAATAGAAACAATGTAAGACAAATAAAATCCATTAACAGAATCGATCCATCTGGACAATTTCACTGTTGAATGATTTAAAACTAGAGTTATTGCACTACATGCTTTTCGCATTGTCTAAAATTCCCTTCCTCTGACAGGTACACTATTTAACAGGCTGAAATTACACGGCACATGAACTAAGCAATAAAAACGTCTACAACAAATATAGAAAGCACCAGGTTAATTTCCCTAAACTGTCACTGTATTTCTGATCAACTAGAGGCAGCTCTTAAATCAATATATGCATTACTTCCTTACTAGTAATGATTAATAACAATATGCCTAAGTAAACGAGTTAAGAAGCTTCAGAAACAGTCACATTAGATGTTAGTTTTACATTTAATCCTCGCCATTTTAAGATATTCTGAACTCTCTTTGTTATTCTAGCATGGCAGTGGAAGGACGAGAGATTCTGCTAAAGATTCGAAAGGAGATGGATGAGAAAGAGAGTCAAGACATCAGCAAGATCAAATATCTTTTCAAGTTCAGGAAGTTCGCAGGAATGAGAATACTCTTTTCAAATCATTTCTAATACTTCCAAATCACCATATGCACTACATTTTCATAGCACAGGTTCATTTAAATCTAGAGTCCCTTTCTTTTAAACCCCCTTCATTTTTTTAACCATTGATAGTTTTGTGTATTTTATGCACTCTAAGTACTTTATATGCTCTCTCAATATAGTGCATCTTGAGAATCATGCAAATAAAGCTTTATTGACTGCAACGCTGAATATGAAAACTAAGTATCACTGCATAAGCAGATATTATTACACTGCTCTCTGGAACACTTGATTTGCATTGGACAAATATTTCCAAGTAATGTCAGTTGTCCAGGGCAACACTGTATAACTGACTGCTTAACATTAATTTATGACTTTGCATTAATCCACGCTGACTAATTGTTCAAAGACTTGGACTCACATTTTTTAGTACTGCATATTAAATTTAGAGGTCAAAATATATTGCAGGACATGCCACTTTCTATCAATGATAATTGTTTGTTTAATTTGAAAGCAACAGTGTCGGTATATCCTGCCTAATTAGACAATGACAGATTACTAGAGGTAAGAAGTGATCATCTTAAATGGATCCAATCACTCAGTCCTAGCAGGCCTAAACCAGCAGAACGAACATATGAATGAACAATATTCATATAAAAATGAGCAAACAGAGCATACACTCTTAATTACGTTTTTTATTTTATGCTTTATTAATATCTGTGTTTATTATAATGTCATGTATCCTAGTTCAGTTTGCTGCAGCTATGATTGAGCTCATAAAAAACTTGGAAGCTAGATGAAATTTACATTTACATTAAACAATGGCCAAATTAATGTACATCCCTCATTATTGCACTTTTTAACAATAATAATAACTCTCAATAAAATTGGCTATTTTAATATGTTTGTTGATATTATAAAACTGTCAACCAAGTCATAAACTTATTTCCAGTAGAATTTTTGCCTGTTAAAGTATGTATCTCTTTCCAATGCCTTTCCACAGTTAATAACATTGTATATCTAGCATTTTCTACATTTTTATGTACAATTACAAACCTGGTGTTTCTAACAGCTGAGGCAATAACGCATAGTTGACATCTTTCTCTCTTCTGATCAGTACGAACAATCTGTCAATATTTTTTATTTTTTGACATGTTATCGTCAGTTTTTCTTTTGATACTGGAGCAAATGGGAGCGCCATTTTTTTGTTTTTTGCCTACAGGCTGTGTGTTGTAGTTTTTGTTTATTATGGTGCGTTCAAGTCATGTCGGACAGATCGTATTTACGAGTTGAACGGACATGAACGCCACCACAAAGTTGTTATTACGAGTGGGAAACTCTACATTTTCTTTAAGCCTCGAGTTTCCGAGTTGGGGGTGTTTCAATGAGAAACATGGCGGAATCGATGGATGCAACGTCTGTAGTTGACGGTAAATTTTTGTTTAAATTGATAGTTTAGTGGGTTGTCAGTGACAAGTACTGTAGAACTGCATGTCTGACAGAGGGAGACAGAGAGATTGCCAAAGTAAAACATAAATCACAATACTTATAGGTATTAAGCAGTGACATTGTCAGGCTTTTTATTTACAAAAAATAAGCTTTTTGAATGTGGCAGGATTGTAATATAACAATTAATAACAAGTTTTTATGCGATAC